TGTCTCCCAGCCTTCTGCCAAATAAGCCAAGAGCCTTGGCTTCCCAGGGAGCCCCTGGCCCAGTGCAGGTGGCAAGTGCCCAGAAATACAGAGTCCAGTAAAGGCTACAATAGGAACGAAGCCAGTATTGCAGTGGGCACAAACAACAGTGTGGTCAGGAGGCAATATTGAAACTAAGCCCTAGAAAATGTCCCAAATTTTTCTGGCAGACAAGGAAGTGGAGTTGAAGCGGGGGATGGATGGCATTCTGAGTCGAGGGGACAAGACCCAGCCTGAGTGTCATGCAAAGAAGTTGGCCCTTCTCATGGAATCACTGGGGAACTACAGCATGATTTGGAACAGGAAAGTTAGCCACCCAATTTGCATTTTAGTAAGATATCTCTGGCAGCTATTTGGTAGGTTGATTAGAGAGGAACTCTCCTAGAGGCCAGGAAAAAGCAAGAACCATGGTGACAGTAGCTGGCAAACAGTAGAAGGGACAGGATTTAATCAATATTCAAGAGGTAGCATGAACATGATGTATCCAGCAATGACGTAGACTGCTATCCTTACACCAATAACCATTGCCCTCTTTGTTTATTAATTATGTTTTAGCTGCATACATGGCTAGAGACTACACAGCCCAGCCTTCCTTGCACCTGGTCAACTTCTGAGCAGTGGTGTCCTTGATCAGGAAAGAACTTGTGCTTCTCACCCACCCCACTTTCCAATGGGTGAGATTCAGATATGATGGTGACTGCTGCCTGGGCTATGTTGGACAGAGATGGAAGCCTTTTTTTTTCTTTTCCTTTTTGAGATGGAGTCTCACTCTGTCATTCTGGCTAGAGTGCAGTGGCGTCATCACAGATCCCTGCAACCTCAAATTCCTGGGCTCAAGTGATCCTCCTGCCTCAGCTTCCCAGGTAGCTGGGACTACAGGCACACATGCCATAACACCTGGCTAATTTTTTATTTTTAGTAGAGATGGGGTCTGGCTCTTGCTCAGGCTGGTCTTGAACTCCTGAGCTTAAGCGATCCTCCTACTTTGGCCTCCAAGAGTGCCAGGATTACAGGCATGAACCATGGCGCCTGGCTTGAAAGCCACATATTGAAGATGGCAGGGATGCCCCACAGTCCTGGATTATCTATTTTGGGATTGTGCTTAAGTCACTGAATTTTGGGGATTCTTTGTTATAGCAGCTTGGACTATACCTTAATTGTTGACCATCCTTTGGCTTTGGGGAATGAGGGAGTGCAAAACTCCTGAGTGGATGGTGGTGCTGCTAACTGGGCCAAGAGATCCAGGAGAGGGATAGGGCTAGGCAATGTGGGGTGTGGAGAAAGATGATTTAGTTTTGAATATGTTGGGTATGAGATGTCTGTGAATAGCAGTGTGTGGTAAACATTTTAACAACCATGGAAGGGGAAGCCCTGATCTGAAGCATTTGCCAATTTGCATGATGTAAATACTCCCACCATGGATGAATTCAAATTACCACTATCAACATGACTTTGCTGAATGAGGGGTTGGGAAGAGAAGTGCACAATGGGCTCCTGTGAGCTGGCACGAGCTGACACCAGCACAGTACTGTCCCTGAGCATCCAAGTGGAGATACTCCATCTGCAGTTGGACATGTACCACGTCTGCACATGGGGAAATGACATTTGGGCTGGAGATGGGGGTTGGAGAGTTATGAGCCATTATGAGGTAAAGTCACAGTAGTGGATAAAGTCACTGACGAATAATGTGAAGAGATTGAGGAGGCCAAAGTGTCAGCATTCTGGAAAAAACAACAGAGGTTTTTTGTTTTGTTTTGTTTTTTTACAGAATGCCCTGAGGAGGAGGAGAGGCCAAGAGAGAACAGTTAGAGGAAGGAGGTCCTGGGACCCATCAGAGCCAGGTCTTCCACTTGTGCTCCAGGGCTTCTACTTTCTCAGACAAGTTGGTTACCTATTGGTCATCCCCACCACCTGTAGCCTTCCCCCTCCCTCTCTCCTACTGTCCTTCCCAGTATCATCTAAGCTGGCTCCCATCAAAAACCAAATATCTGGCAATGGTTCCTCGAAGGGACCTTGGAAACAGTCCTTTCCAATGTATGTTCATGTGTCAGACCTTGTGCTCTCCCCAGTCTAGGATCCAGATAGGTATGTGCAGTGCCTTTGGAAAGCCCCAGGGCACTGTGGCCAGGGTTCACATTGACCAAGTCGTCGCGTCCATCCGCACTAAACTGCAGAACAAAGAGCATGTGATTGAGGCCCTGCACAAGGCCAAGTTCAAGGCCCCTGGCCACCAGAAGATCCACATCTCAAAGAAGTGGGGCTTTACCAAGTTTAATGCAGATGAGTCTGAAGACATGGTGACTAAGAAGCAGCTCATCCCAGATGGCTGTGGAGTCAAATACATCCCCAATCATGGCCCTGTGGACAAGCGGCAGACCCTGCGCTCATGAGGGCTTCATCTGTGCTGCCCCTCCTTACTTATGCCCACCAATAAATCCTACTTCCTGTCCACCAAAAAAAAAAAAAAAAAAAAAAAAAAACCTGGCCCAAATATCCGGACTCTACATTCTCTTCCACTGTTGTCCTAGATTTCTATACCCCACTCCAAGCCAAGATTCCCAAAGCCCTGGTCACTCGCTGTCTCCACTGCCTCATTTCTCACTCACCTGCAGCTCACTGCAAGTAGAGCCGTGGCAGCCATTGCAAATGCTCTGGACAAAGTTACCAGCGGCCTCTACGGTATCCAATCCTTTGCACATTTCTCAGCCCAGTCTTGCTTCATCTCTCTGCAGCGTTCGACGCAGCTTACCATTTCCTCTTTGGAACACTCTTTTCTTTTGGGTTCTAGAACTCCCCATTCTCCTGATTTCCTTCTTAGCTCTCTCGCTTCTCCTTTGGCAGCTTGTTCTCCAGCTGACCTCTAAATGTTGGAGTTCCTCAGAGCTTGGTCTTAGGCCATCTCATCTTTTCCCTGAGCCTCTTTATGACTTCATCTACTCAAATGTGCCACTCGCTCTCGGGGCTCTATTCCAATTCAGATTTCTCCACTGATGCCCAGACCTGCTTCTATAGCTGCCTATTGAACATTTCTCCTGACACTTCATGGGCACCTCAAATCGAAAACTGCCGAATCTGAAACTCTTGATCTTGCCCCCAAATGTATCCACGCTCAGCCATTCTATTCCCAGTAAACAGCACCTCCAGGCCACCAGCATGAATTGTTATTTCAGTGCCCATTTACCTACCATCTGTGCCCTGTTGTTCACAGTTGTATCCTAATTGCCTAGGACGGGGCCTGATACATTATTAGGGCTCAGTAAACATTAGCTGAGCGAGCTAAAACAGGAAAACATATCACAGAAACCAAAGTGAGAGGAAGCAGCATCAGATGCCCTATAGAGATTGACAAAATTGTGTTCTAGTCCTCAGCTGCTAATTTTCTAAGTGACTTTAGGTAAGTCACTGTGCCTGTCTGTAGATTGAGGAAATTGAAGTAAATTATCTATGAGGCCCCTTCCAAATTCTAACACCTATTATCTATTGGTAATATATCATTGAATTGGTAGGTGTACATCCATAGAATTTGTGCATAACTAAGAATGCGACTGTTTTTCTTATTTTCTTTAAAAATTTATGCTTTTAGGCTGGGCGTGGTGGCTCACGCCTGTAATCCTAGCTCTCTGGGAGGCTGAGGCGGGCGGATAGCTCAAGGTCAGGAGTTTGAAACCAGCCTGAGCAAGAGTGAGACCCTGTCTCTACCATAAATAGAAAGAAATTAATTGGCCAACTAATATATATAGAAAAAATTAGCCGGGCATGGTGGCACCTGCCTATAGTCCCAGCTACTTGGGAGGCTGAGTCAGGAGGATTGCTTGAGCCCAGGAGTTTGAGGTTGCTGTGAGCTAGGCTGATGCCATGGCACTCACTCTAGCCTGGGCAACAAAGTGAGACTCTGTCTCAAAAAACAAAAAAAACAAAAAACAAAAAACTTATGCTTTTGGAAAATATTTGTACCGCCTTTAACAGAGACTAAATGAATAGCGTATTGTGATACTTTAAAATTGCAAGGAATCAGTGGAGGCTATTCGTTGACTTGAAATTTCTAAAACATTTTCACAATCTATGGTATCTCAATAGTCCAAGAGATTTGCAGGGCAGATGGGCCCTCAACACTCCCATTTAACAGGTGTGGAAACGGAAGCAGGCCTATGCTTACATTCTTGTCCCATTATTGGAATGGTCCCCAGGGGGATTCCATCTAGAAGCTGGTATAGATGTACTGTAATTGCACAGCGAAGTCGTTAAGGCAGTCTGAGTTCATATCTTAACTCTGTAGCCTTCGGTCTAGTTCCACTGCTAGAAAAGGGGTAATGCTAGCACTTAACTTCACAGTGTTGCGGGATTAATAACATAAGTATGGAACTCAATAAGTGAGTTGCTATTATGGTGGCATGCGACTCTGTAAAGGGGTCTACAAAAACCTGGGCAACGCTAAGGAACTGTCTGTGCAGGATTCTTATGGCATTCCCAGGGGTCTGCACCAGCCTCCACCCGCCCTTGCTCAGGGGACGATTAGAATCACTGTTCTTTCCTTCTACTGCCTGGAGGTGGGCCCTGTCCTCAGCCAGTCCGGATTTCTCAGGCTCCGCCCCCCTAAGAGGGGCGGGGCCTCTCCAGGCGGGGGCGTGGTCCAACTGAGAACTGGGGCGTCGAGCTCCCCTTCCCAGTCTGCATCCACCCAATCCGGGAGGGGCTGGAGGTCTATCACGTGACCAGAGAGCCGTCTCACCCTCCCCTATGCCTGTACCACTTCTGCCAGCCCCAGGGGGACACCTTAATCCTTCCGGAAAGCAAAACATTTTTTTTTGGTCGATTTGCGTCGAAATAGTGTGACATGCTATCTTTGTTGTGACTGAGTCAGTCTTTGCCCCTTAAGTGGTGTTTTCTCTTCTGGCATTCCCCCACTAAGTAGTTGGTATCGTCCAGCCGGGCCCTGGGCGCGGCGGCGACGGCCGCGTCACTGGCGGGCGGGATCCCTCCGCTCTGGGGAGAGCAGCGCTGGACGGTTGAGTTGGGGTGACTGAGGAAATCCATCCGCGTCGCCGCCGCTGCCGCCTCCGCCGCGGAGGAAGACAGGACCTCCCGCGCTCCTCTAGCGACCCCTTCGCAGAGTCCCACCGCCACAGGTACCTCCGCTGACAAAAGGAGTCCTCATGCCCCCAGCCCCAAATTCCCATGGGGGAACCTCTCTTCCTTCTGTCTCCCCGGTCTGGCCTCTTGGGAGCGGACGTAACTCCCCAGACCTCCCCTCCCTGCCTTCGGCTCCGTCGCTTCCAAACCCGGAAGGGGAACTGGGGGACCCCTTTCCCCATTAATGCATGCGTTCCCTGCACCATCAGCGGCATTTTGCCTGACCCCAGACCCCATCCCAGTCCCGCCTGCCTCTTGCTCCCTTAGAAGTTGGGGGGCTAAATTCCGGGCTTCCTCTAGGCCCCGTCCCGCCCCCTTTCCCCACCACCACCTCCCGCCTGTCCCAGGTGGCACCCCTCGTGTCCCCCTGTTTCGCACCCTGCCGGCATTCGCCTTGCAAAACTGCAGAATCTGGGGAGAAACAGGCAAGGCCGCGCCTTCGCTTCGTCTCCACCCTACCCCGATTGGGGTTCTGCCCGTGGTTTCTGGCCCCCTACTCGAAACCGGAGACTTCATCACTCCATTCCCCTTTTACAAGTCCTAACCCCAAGCCTAGCTCCCAGGTGTCTGTCCCCCGCCCAGCTTTCTTTCGGGCAAAATGGAGGTCGTGGGGGCTGGAGGGCCAGGCCCACTGCGCTTCGCAGCGCGGCACCAGCCCGCGCCTTCCAGCTGCCAGATCCAGGGACCCTCCCCTGTCTCCTCCTCTTCGCCCCACCAGACCTGCGGAAATGGTGGCACCCCCATTTCTCTATGAGGCTCTGGCTGCTGTATCCCCAGAATTCGGGGGCTGCTGAGGGGGCCCTGGAGGGTGATGGGAACTGAGGCTGGGAGTGTCGCCCCCACCCCCAGCGGCTTCCTCCTGGCCTGCTTCCTTCTGCCCCGGGCCTCTGGCGTTGCCGCCCGGCCTGGGCTGCTGGCAGCTGGAAGGAAGGGGCTTTGTCCGGACCCGGGGGTGGGTGGGGTAGGGTAGGGATTTCTGTGCCCCCGCCCCCGTTTTCGAGGGGCATCCCCTGGCACTGGCGTAGAAAGCTGAACTCACTGAGGGGAAATGTCAGTGGGGAAGAGGAACGCTCAGCGCCTGGGGGAAGTAGGAGCTGGGTGGGGGACGCCTGGGTCGGTAGAGTGCGGTATGCACGGCTAGATCACACAGGTGTCCAAGGGGGGCAGGACTCCGGCCCCGGGAGGAGCCAGCCAGGCCCAGGATGGGCCCTTGGGGTGCCGAGGGCGCAGGGGCTGGGCCGCCTGGGGCTGCGGGCTGACGCCTGGGAGAGATCAGCTCCGCGCCTCTGGGCCAGGGACCTCTCTTCAGAGCCCTAATTACTCGAGAGCGGCTCCCACGGGCCTTCTGCGGGCGCGGCGGGCGGGTGGCCTCGGCGCTGGAGGGAGCAGGGGCTTGGGGCTGCCTTCCCCGCCACTCTCGCCTCCACCCTCGGCGGACGGCTAATGGGGCGCAGCCGGCCGGGGGATTATCCGGGGTGAGCCGTCCCGAACCTATTAGTGCCCAATCGGCTTTTCCCAAATCCTGTAAACAGCCACCCTGGCCGGTTCTGAGGAGGGGTGGGAGGCAGGGTCGGGCGGGGGCGATGGGGCCGGGGGTGGGGTCACCCACCCTACAGGTCTCTGCCGTGGATGCGGTTGCCTTGACAACGGGGCTAGGGTGGGGGCACTTCACCAATGAGGTGCTCTCAGTCCGGGTGACGGTTGCCTAGGCAACCCCACGAACAGCCCAGCTTTCCCCTGGTCTCCCCCCACCGTGGAAGCTGGGGGTGTGTGTGGAGGGTGTGCGGCGTGTGGGGGTGAATTTAAAGAGGCACCGCCCCTTTTAAAATTAGGTGCTTGGAGGGTGGTGCCTGTGCGGGCTGGGGCGGGCGCCAGGTCTGTTTTCGAAGGGACTCCCCCCAACCAGTTCCTGCCTCGGGTGTCCCGCCCGGGCTGCTGTCCGAGGGAGGGGTTTCCCCTGCGCTTCCTCTTGCACTTCCCGCTCCGTTTCCGGGGGGCGGGAAGAAGATTGGGGAAGTAGGCTAGTCCTAGGCCTACAGCTCGGCAACACCACTGTGGTGCCAGAGACCCCGGTTCTGCCCGGGCGACCGGGGTCACCGCTGCCGCCCCCTCCCCCTCCGGTGCTTACCCCTTCCCTTCCGGGCCACGCTTCAACCCCGCCTTTCCCCCTTCTTCCCCGGCGGCCTTGGGGCCTGACGTCAGCCCTGCATCCCCCCAGGCCTCGGGCCAGCGGCCAGGAGCTGCCTCCCCCAGCCCCCGTCCCGCGGCCCCCAGCCGCCCCCAGCCCCGCCCCACGGGCCCGGCGCCATGAGTGAGCTGGAGCAACTGAGACAGGAGGCCGAGCAGCTCCGGAATCAGATCCGGGTGAGGGCCTGGCCGGCCGGGTTGGGGAGACCAAGCGGGCAGGGTTGGGTGGCTTGTGTGTACTGCTCCCTAGCGCCCTGGAGTGGGCAGGGTGAGGGGTTTGGGGATGGGGGAGGGCGGGCCCCTTAGTATCTCAGTGTCTCATTCTCTCCACTCCTGTCTCCTGTTTTCATCCCTCTCCTCCCCCACCTGTCTTCTCTCCTGCTTCTCCCTGCCTGGCTCTGCCATCTCTTACAGGATGCCCGAAAAGCATGTGGGGATTCAACACTGACCCAGGTGAGGTGAATCTGGGGCAGGACTGGAGGCATGGTGGGGTGAGGTTGCAGGGGTGCTGCTCAATGGGGTCCTGCTGCTTCCCTGAGCCCATTTTTCCTCCACCTCCAGATCACAGCTGGGCTGGACCCAGTGGGGAGAATCCAGATGAGGACACGGAGGACCCTCCGTGGGCACCTGGCAAAAATCTATGCCATGCATTGGGGGACAGACTCAAGGTGTGTGTGCAGTTGGGTTGGGGCTCTGTGCTGAGCTTTTGTGTTCAAGTGCTGTGGGCTGACTTAGAGCAGGCGGGGCAGATCTGGTGGGATGAGGAGGACACCCATACTCCCAGGGTATATTTGGGAAGACTGTGATACCCTCACATCCCCACGGGACCTGGGAAGCAGGGCCATCCCAACAGGAACTTCTGGGCTGCTGCTGGGGTTGTTTCAGAAGAGCCTCCCGCCCAGTGGGAGAAGGGGAGGGTGTCCTGCCTCCAGAGGAGGGCTTCTCACCTGGGCCCTCTGCCTTTCTGTGCGCTGTCCCCCAGGCTGCTGGTCAGCGCCTCCCAGGATGGAAAACTCATCATCTGGGACAGCTACACCACCAACAAGGTAGAGATGGTACCTAGGGCCGGGTGGGTGGCAGGACCCTGGCTGGCTCTGACCCTGGGCACTGCCCCTCCTCCCTAGGTCCACGCCATCCCGCTGCGCTCCTCCTGGGTCATGACCTGTGCCTACGCGCCCTCAGGGAACTTTGTGGCCTGCGGGGGGTTGGACAACATCTGCTCCATCTATAGCCTCAAGACTCGAGAGGGCAATGTCAGGGTCAGCCGGGAGCTGCCTGGCCACACTGGTGAGAGGGCCCTGGCTGGGCATGAGCACTGTCTTGGGGGTAGGGGTTGTGCTGCCCTCCCTCCGTGTGTTGACCTGGCTGACAATCCCCTTTCCCCAGGGTACCTGTCGTGCTGCCGCTTCCTGGATGACAACCAAATCATTACCAGCTCTGGGGATACCACCTGGTGAGTCCCTGCCAAAGCTGGGCAGCCTGGATGAAGTCACACTTCCTACCTCCATCAGGGGCCACTCTCTCTGTGCTCAGCATGCAGTGTACACCCTAGCCTCCCTCTTGTGGCAGGTGCCAAGGGGATGGGGGAGGGATGGGCCCCCTCCCCAACTAAGGCTCTTAGACCTAGGATGAGAGCAGGCTCCTGGAGTCCCTTCCTTAGGTGCTCTGACAGGGCTGGGCCCATGTGGTAGAGGGGATGGCGAAGCAGGATTCTGTCCTTCACCCCATCTCTGATCTTTCCCTTCCTGTCACCTCTCCAGTGCCCTGTGGGACATTGAGACAGGCCAGCAGACCGTGGGTTTTGCTGGACACAGTGGGGATGTGATGTCCCTGTCACTGGCCCCCGATGGCCGCACCTTTGTGTCCGGTGCCTGTGATGCCTCCATCAAGCTGTGGGACGTGCGGGATTCTATGTGCCGACAGACCTTCATCGGCCACGAATCCGACATCAATGCTGTGGCTGTAAGTTCCAGGGCGAGCCAGGCCAGCCCCTCCTGACCAGGCTCCTGGCCCTGCTCCGTGCCCTCATCCCACTCTGGCCCTGTGTCCTACAGTTCTTCCCCAACGGCTACGCCTTCACCACTGGCTCTGATGATGCCACGTGCCGCCTTTTTGACCTGCGGGCCGACCAGGAGCTCCTCATGTATTCCCACGACAACATCATCTGTGGCATCACCTCTGTTGCCTTCTCACGCAGTGGCCGGCTGCTGCTTGCTGGCTATGATGACTTCAACTGCAACATCTGGGATGCCATGAAGGGCGACCGTGCAGGTGAGACCAGGGTGCCTAGTAGGGCGGGTAGGGATGGGGAGCCCAGGCCAGGTAAGTTCTGAGGTCTCTCTCCCTCACAGGTGTCCTTGCTGGCCATGACAACCGCGTGAGCTGCCTTGGGGTCACTGATGATGGCATGGCTGTGGCTACAGGCTCCTGGGACTCCTTCCTCAAGATCTGGAACTAACCACCCCAACCCCAGCTGGGCCCAGGCCGGGAGGGGCCCTGCCCACGCCCACACTACAGACCGGGAGCTTTGGGGCTGGGTACACACCAAGCCTCCTTCCCTAGGCCATGGGGCCTTGGGTCCCTGCTCCCCCACCCAGGTTTGGTTCCTCCCGGGGCCCCCACTGTGGAGATGAAGATGGGATGGAATGGGGGAAGAGGAGGGGGCAGAAGGCCCTCATCCTTTTGCTGCCCTGGGGTCAGGGCCTCACCCCTCTGGAGGGCCAGAGGCAGAAGGTGGAAACTCCAGGGGCTGGCTTTTTTAAAACTGGTTTTATTTTAATTTTTATTATATTTTCAGTTTTTCCATAAAGGAACCAATTCCAACTCTGTACCTGGTCTCCACCCTTGCTTGTGTCTTTCTCTTTCCTGAGGGCAAAGGTTAGGGGCCCCCACCAGCATAAAGGGCTGGGGAATCCCACTCTTTCTCAGAGCAAAGCTGAAGTCCTAGGTAAGAAAGCCTCTGCCCAACAGGGCCACAGGTGTTCTAGACACAGCCTCTACTGTCCTTGTGCCTGGTCAGGCTGCTGACCAGAGTCACCCCAGCACTGAGTTACATGCTCATCCCCCTTTCCCCAAGTAAAGACAGCAGACTCAGAAGGGGAGAACACACACAAGTTTTATTGGGAGAGGGGAGTATTTACAGGGATAGGTAAAAGAAAGGGAAGTCACACAGGGTGAGGAAGATTGTGGGTACAAGGCAGACAAGGGAACACAGAATGGCCCCTGCACCAACCCCAACCCCAGGAAGGGCAGGGGACAGCTAGGGCCCAGGAAGACGGGCTGGGGAAGGACAGCAACAGGTCTGAGTCCCTGGGCAGAGGGCTCAGGGGCTTGTAAACATTGACCACTCTCAGAAGGGGATGGGGGTGGGAGAGGGCTCCCCCTACACTTCCTCACAGGGTTAAGGCCTCTCCAGGCTCATGGGCCCCCTAAGTTCAAAGTCTCTTTAGCTGGGGGAAGGGGCAGGAAGAGACAGGAAGTGTCCCCCCCTCCCCTGCATTGGCTGCGCAGGGGCAGGGGCAGGGGCAGTTACATTCAGTCACAACAGGAGTCTCCCCTACACCTTGGATGCGCCAACACAGATGCAGATGCGCCAACACTGGCGAGAGGGAAGGGGGAGCTGGGGGCCAGCAGCATCAAGACACTCCCTGGCCCATTACCCCCTTATTGCTTTAGAGAGAATATTGTCTTTTCACGGATGCTAACACTGTCAAGACCAGGGAGAAGCAGGTGGAGGGGCCCTTCCACCCTGTGGCCAGCTTGATTCCCCAACACTGACCCAGTTGCCACTTTGGTGCAAAAAAAAAAACAAACAAAAAAAAAACACAAAGTCATCCCTCTGGGGACAGATGGGGAAAGAGACAGCCCCTCCCCAGTTCCCCAGGGCTAGAAGGATAAATACATTCATGGAGGGAGGCAGTGGGAGAGTCTCGCCCTAATACTGCACTCTGAGCAATGAGGTCGGTGGGAAGCGTCAGATGAGAAACCCAGAAGATAAACTACTAAAAAACAAAAAAACAGATGGAGACAAATCCAGGTGGAGATTAGGACTAAGAAATCAGTGAGCAAGAGAAGGGGCAGCCTACTACCCCGACCGAGACACACACGCTCCATTCCTGACCCCAACGTCACCCAGCACCGAAGAACGCACCGACAGGGAAGGCCACTCGCTCCACTCCCATTTGGTCAGCGGCAGGGTCAGGTGCAGAGCTGGGTGGTCCACACCCCACAGCAGGCTGCAGGTTGGGGGTGCCCTGGCAGCAGACCCCCACATTGCAACCCTAAGCCCGAAGATGCCCACTTCTTGCCCTTCAAGGCCCCTCTTCCTGCCCCAGTCACAGGAGAAACGACTCAGTCCAGTAAGTGGCGCTTCCTCCCTCTGCAGCTCCTGGAGGAATCCATCCCACCCCTACCTCTTGCAGGGGTGAGGCAGGGGCCTGTGGCCCAGAGAATACATTCATGTGGCAAGGCAGAGAGCTGGGGCTTTCAGGTTCACACCTAGGCATCCCCCAAAATGGCAGCGGTGGGGGAAGCCCCTCGCCAGGGCCAGAGTCCAAGTCCAGCCGCCCCGCCCCACTAGCCAAATGAGGTTGGCACTGACCCGGCCCTTCCCATCTACCCATAGGCCAGTGCAGGAAGGTAGCCTGGGAGGCTGAGGCGGCTCGTCCAATTTGTGCAACTTTCCCCCAAAGCAGCAAAGCCAAGGGGCTACTTTACTTTGGCCCCTACCCCAGACACATCTGCCATAGTCACAGCAACACAGAGCTGGTCACAGCTGGGCCGGTGGACGGGGGTCTGCAGGGTCTCGCTGTGCAAACTGCTGGCGCCCCAGCTTCCAGTTACCTCACAGCCCACCTTCCAGGAGCAGGAGGTAAGTGCAGCCTCGGGCCCAGGCAGGACAGGTCCATGGGGCCTGTGTTCCCACTTGCCCCAAAATAACAGTGTGTTTTTCTTTCAACCTCCTAACCATTTTTTTTTCATTATTTTTCAACTTTTTTCTTAAAAAAACAAAAAAAATCCAAAAAAAAACACCTCTGTGGACCTTCCATTGTCACCCCCTCCCAATCCCCAGAAGGGTAAGGGGTGTTTAGAGTCTAGTTTTTAAACAATAGCTTCTGTCTCTCCTAACATTTTCTTCAAAGTTGCTTAAAATTAAAAAACAAAACAAAACAAAAAAAAAACACAACCCATTCCCCCCAATCTGTAAAGTGCCTCGTGGTGGGTGAGTTAAGGTGCATCGTGTGGTTTGTAACAAGTGCTGGGGCCGCTGCCCCTGCTTCCTCCTCGGCTCCCTGTGGGGAGCCTGCAGGCTGGGGACCCGAGGGTCCACGCCACTGCTGCCACCCCTGGCCTACAGCCCAGGGGCTGGGGACGGGCTGGTCAGTAGTCATCCACGCTCTCGATCTCACCAGAAGATCCATGCAGGGAGTACCCTGAAGCCGGGGGAGAAGCTGCGTCTGAGCTGGCTCTCCCAGGCTCCTGCCACCCTGTGCTGAGCAAGCACAGCCCCTGCCCCTGCCCCAGCTCACCCAGGATGCTGGGGTCCGAGTGCAGCATCAGCGCCCGCCTCTTGGCCTTGCTGCCCTCCCCAGGGCCGAGTTTGGTGCTGTGGTTGGCCTGGAAGGCCGTCTGCAGGGAGGCGCCGCTCAGCCACGCCTCCTAAGGCAGCAGAGAGGGCCAGTCAGGAGGGCACAGGGGTGCTCACACCCCTTGCCTGGGCCCTACGAGCGCTCACCTGCTGCTGCTGCCGTTGCTGGCTGGCTTTCTGCTTGGCCCTTCGCTCCAGGAATTGTTTGGCAAATTCTTTGGCTTCCAGCGTGTCCCCCAGGCAGGAACGGATATAATCATGGACGTCATAGGGGGATTCCACCTCCTTGAGGATGGCTACAGCCATGGGCACTGTGGGCCAAGGTGGGGGCTATCAGGGCCCACCTGGCTCCAGTCTGGAGACCTCAGCCCCAGCTGGCCTCCCAGGTCCGCCCACCAGTACCGTCCAGGCTGCCCGTGGTGCTCAGCGTGTGCAGCATCTGCTCGCACCACTGGGTGAAGCCGTCCTGGGGCCGGGGGATGCCCTGCAGCAGCTTCAGCAGCTTCTCTTCTTCCTCAGTCTTTTTGCGAACAGGCCGACCTGCTAGGTGGCTGTAAGAGTCGCTGAGGGGGGCGAGCAACTTAGAGGCCAGCTCAGGTGTTCTACCTCCTTCCACCCCTAGCCGCCCCAGAGCCTCAGGGCCCTGCACCCACCTGAGAGACGGGCTGCTCCGGCTATTCTTCAGGCCAAGGCCACGGACCAGGCTCCCGCCACTCTTAGGGGTGTCTTCCCAGAGCCCCAGGCTGCTGCTGCTGCCCCCACTCTTGTCGGGCCCGCCCCACAGCGGCCCTGCCTCAGATACCCACTGGTTCAGTGGGGCAGTGCCCAGGCTCCCAAGCTGCTGCAGATGGCAGGAAGTCAGGGTGGCCAAAACAAAGCACCCAAGAGAGCTAGGCGGGGAGGCTCACTCGCATGGGAAAGGGGTAAGTGAGGCAAGGGGCGTGTGGGAAAGAGATCACCCAGGATGAAGTAAGGAACAGGGCTTGGGCAGAAAAGCCTGGGCTCAGGGCCACTCCTCCCCGTGTCACCCTGGAAGCTGACGAGAGAGGGCCCAAGGTTCCCGTCAACAGGGAGGGGCCCAGCCTGCTCACCACGCGGTGGTTGGGCACCTGGGTCCGAGCTGGCTCCCGAGTTGGGGGCTGCTTGTGCAGCTGCCGCTCGCCCTCCAGCTGCAGCTCGAGCAGCGTCTTCATGGAGAGGCCCTGCTTGGCCAGGCCAGCCCAGAGTGGGGGAGGGGAGCTGGGCGCAGGAGGCACAGGGACCGAGGCCGCCTGCTGCTGCTGCAGCAGCTTCAGCAGCAGCTCTTGCTGTCGCACCTAAACAGAGAGACACGGTGAGGGGAAGAAGGTGAGGGGGCCACAGTGAGGGCAGTCAACCAGAGGACAGGGTGGCACCAACCTGCTTACGCCGAAACAGTTCCTCCTCCTCCTGTCGCCGCTTCTGCTCCTCCTGCTGCTGCTGGCGGCGCTTCTCCTCGCGGCGCTTCCGTTCCTCCTCTTCCCGCTTCGCCCTGAGCTCCACTTCTCTGCGCTCTTGGAACTGAGACCACCGACCTGGTCAGGTGCGGGGGCTGGCAGTACTGGCCTCAGGCCCCACCTTGGTCTGGCCCTCCACACCCAGGGACTCAGCCCCTGGACGCCTACTCACTTTATGTTGCAGCTGGAGTTGTTCTAGAATTGGACCCTGAGTCGAAGAGTTAATTGGTATGTCCCAAAGACTGGCCTCACCACCTGCAGGTGGCAACGGCAGCTTCAGGAGGGAACCTGGGTCCCCCTGGTCCCATCCAGCAGCTGGAGCAGCATGAAGGTAACTAACAGGCCGCCCCCAAGCCCCCCCACAGAAAATGCCCAGGGAGGGAGAGAATGGCTGAGAGGGGAGGGAGGGAGGCCGGTGGGCCACACACCTGACTGTGATGAGGCTGAGGTATGTACGTCCCAGAGGGGGCCTGAATCTGGCACCGACAAGGACCGGCTCATCGTCGGGAGCAGGTTCTGGTCCCCACCTCTGAGGAGCAAATCAGTGATTCTCAAGACCCCAATCCATTTCCAGCCCATCCGCCCCCTCCATACATATCTCCAGGGCACACACACACAGCACTGTGACACATGGCAGCCCACGGACCTGGGGGGTTTGAGAGCCTGGAGCTGCTGCAGAAATGCTGTGAGCTGCTGCTGCTGCGGCGGCGACAGGTCCCCCATAGCTGCCTTTTCCCGGAGTGCACACTGGGGGAGCTGGCGGCTGCAGAGATGTGGACAGTGTGTGGGGGTGGTGGGCCACATGGAGCCAGCACCCTGCTCTACTTCCAAGCCCTCCCAGGCCCCTCGTACCTGCTGACCAGCTGAAGAAACTGCTGGTGCTGCAGCTGCTGGTACAAGGCCGCTGCTGCTAGCTCCTGTTGCTTCTTCAACCGCTCCTGGTCCATGTTTCCCTACACAATGGTGAGACCAAGCCCAGTGCACAGGATGGGGGGTGCGTGGGACTCTGCTGGGGTCCCAAGGCTGTGACATGGCCCTGCCCCACCCCCATCCACAAAGAGAGGCATGCTCACCAGCAGTGGGGGTGGTGAGGGCCCTGGGGCAAAGGGCACACGACCCCACATCTTGATCACCTCACCCAAAGGCTGGAAGCCCTCATCACAGCCCCGCTTCACAAGCAGTGACATGGAGAAATAGCCAGCCTGGAACCACTCAGCCATCTCCTGTGTCGTGAAGGGGCCTAGACAAAGGAAGCAGAATAAAACCACTCGGGGTCAGAAAGTACACCAAAGACACCCTGAACAATGGCCCTCTAAGAGCCCTCCCACTTGCCACAGGCACCTTGGATCTCCCCCTGCGGGTCCTTGTAGAACCACTTCCGAGCAGCGCCATGGCTGAGGGGGAGGGCAGTGGCGACAGCAGAGTGGCGCAGGCCCTGGGTCTGCATGGCGGCTGTGAACTGCTCCTCCTCCAGAGAGCTGTCCTGCAGGGAGGCCACCAGCTTCTCTGCCTCCTGAGAGCCCAGGGAGAGAAGTAAAGTTCAGCCTTACAACATCAAGAAGGGGCTGGGGTTCGGTCAGGTCATAGACGAGGCAGCACAGAATCGGGAAAAGCGTGGCTCTCTGTTCCCCGCAGGGAAGGCTCCCTCCAGCTTTCCTGCCTTCCCCACCTGCTGCAGGTGCTTCAAGCCTTCATCATCTTCCAGGTCACCAGGTGGGCCAGTGGGGGAGGCCACTCCAGGACTCAGCTGGATCCCCCTCATCTCATCTCCTAGGACAGAAGGACAGAGGGTAGATGGGGCACCAGAGGAGACAAGACAGTCCCTGACCCGCCTTCACTCCAGATTAATGAGCCCTTGCTGTAGCCAACCCAATAACGCATGTGCCCTGTGTGACCCTCCCCACAGGAGAGGGTGCTGTCTCCACCAGCCCCAGCTCTCACTCTGTCTACCTTCAGCTGCTGGGAGCTCCTTCTCCACAGTTTCATCACCATCCCCATTTGGCCCCCAGAGTGGGCCCAAGGCGGGCAGTGGGGACGGAGAGCTGGACTTCTCCTCCTGAGGAGGCAGTGGGGTCAGCTCCTTCCCACCTGAGAGAGAAAGTTAATGACCAGAATTCAAAACCCAAGAGCCAGAAGGCCTGACACATGAGTCAGCACAAGCCCTCCATGTGGCCAGAACTTGGGCCTCTAGGCAGTGAGTCCACTCACTTAACTTCAGTCAACTCAGCTAACGTTTGAATAGGAATGTGGCAAATTTATCACCCCAGACTCTACTGTGCACACCTTTCTTGCCTCACACCTCAGGACACGGTATGCACACATTACGACACCATAGAGGGCTGTGTACACGACACCATACAGTTAACACCATGTTCTACAGCTTCTCCAAGGGATTTTCAAAGGTCACTTTGATTGCACTTGATTTGTATCTGACATGCTACCCATAAGACACAGCTCTGCTGATTCTAAGTTCCTCCGCAAGTCTCTCAGCACTTGCTTTTCCCATGCAGTTCTAGGCAGCCTGACCCTACAGGCAGGCGGGTAGCCAGCACCTGGCTGTCGTGCCTCCTCCCTGCCCACCCTGTGGCTCACCTGCCTCAGGCCCCTCCTCATCCACCCCTTCGGAAGGCTCCTCCTCTTCCTCCTCTAGACCCTGGAAGTCGAGCTCCTGCTCCTCAGGAATGGGTTCCTTGGGACCCTTCTGTATGGGTTGGGGGAGTTGATGGGATCAGAGAACAAATGGGCGAGAGGAACCCAGCAGGGCAGGTACCAAACAGCCTGACCAAGAGCCTCCCCCTCGCCTCATCGCATGTACCTTGAGAGGCAAGAAGGCCCCAGAGGCATCGAAGGTGCCCATTTCTTCATCCTCATCATCCAGGCACCATTCCGGGAGCCCATCCTTGTCATCGTCAAAGCCGTCAGGCCCTCGGCACCTCCGGAGGTGAGAGCTGCCTCCCCCACCCCGCCCATCTTCTTCACCACACCCTCCTCGATCCCCTCGCAAATCAAATTCAAACTTGCGACGCCGGTCCCCATGTTCCCGCCACCCAGCAGAGCGGGGGCCGCCATCTAGGCAGGAAAAGTCAGAGGAGAAAGAGAATCGGTATCTGAGACAAGCCAGAGTCTTCTCCTCGACCACCGTTCACCCCAGGAACTACGGGCATTTCAAGGACTGTGCTCCCAGCCACCCCTGTGCCAGCAAGCTTTCTGCTCTCTTCATGACCACTGGAGCCCACCCTCCTAAGACAGTTCCTGCCTCCCACAGCCTCCTAGGATGCCACCTAGCCCAATCTTACCAGGGCTGGCTGAGCGCCAGCGGTCTCCTTCTCGCCGGGGTCCCGCCCCGAGTCTCCAGCTGCCCTCCTCCTCTTCCTCTTGTTCCTCCCGCAGAGAACGCCAGTTCTCACTATCTGAGCGGGCGTGCTCCTTCCTTGGGCCAGCCCCTCCCTCCTCAAACCCGGATCGTGCTGGGTGTGGGGGAGGGGAGAGACACAGCAGAATGGCAACCACAGTACCTGGAAGACTCTCGCTGACCCTTGTCAGTCAGTGAGGAACCCAGCTCCAGGCCCTCATATCCTGAGTAAATATCCCCCCAACTAAGGCACCCATCTTGGTCCCCCACACCCCACCCCCACCCTCTCCCGCTCTCCATACCTCCATCCCTCCTTGCTGACTTGTCAAACCGCCTTTCGCCTCTGCAGGAAGAAAGGTGTCAGTCAAAAAAAAGTACAGCTTCTCCTCCCCACCCTGCAGTACTGCTGGATGCCTTGTCCACTGTGTCCTGAGACGGTGGGGGGAGGGGGGCAGAGGTAGGAAACAGAGGGAACTAGGGAAAAGTCAAGCTTGGGAGAAGGGATCACAAAGGGACACATGGACCACAAGATCACAGGGTACTAAGAGAGTCAGAAGGAAAAGGGCAGGCCCCAGAGCTCTCCAACAAGGGCTTCCAATTCCCCAATAATGACAAAGACCAAAGCCTGCCTCCATGGGACCCAGCCCCCTCTGCCTCTGCCACCACCCTCCAGCTCTACCTGTCATCCCAGCTCTGGCTGCGCTGGATCTCCCGGGGGTTCCGTCCAAAGGCCCCATCACCTTCTTCGATGCTTCTTTGGTAAAAGCAACTGTCGCCACGGCCTCGGCCTAAAGGGATGAGACACAGGTTTGAGACCTGCCAGAACATCTCTCCACACCCTTGAAACCACGGCCCCAACTCTGCCCACCCCCAAGCACGTGACTGCCCCTCTACCTCGGCTCCGTGTGCTGCCCCTGCCACGGGAGGTGCCAGCCGGGGGGGGGCCAGCCCCTTTCCCCATCAGCCTCAGCACAGCCACACTGTTCACTGACAGGGAGAAGTTTCTCTGAGGAAGGAGCCAGGAGTAGAGTGAGGACCTGGGCACCTGATCATCCCCACCTTACCCAAAACACCAACCTTCTTACCTGTCCTCCCAGCCCAGCCCCTCTCCTCCCAACACAAGGTCCTGACCTACAGCTGCCACTCAGCCCACCTGCTCCTCCTCGGTCAGGGGCTCCAGGGCCAGGGGCTGCAGTGGCTCTTCCTGCAGCACCGCAGCAAACTCCTTGTCCTGTAGCTCTTCAGGGACCTGTCAGATGGGGCAGGAGGACCAAGATACCACATGCTCCAGGGTCCTTTCTACTGGCCAAGGCCATAGGGCAACTTAGCCACATACCTCCACGCCCACCCACCCACCTTGTTCTCCTTGACATAGAGAGCCAGCATCTCCTCACGCCCATAGCGGTAGTCAGCCAGCTTGTATTTGGGTATGGCAGGGGAGGGGGGTGGGGAGGCCACACTGCCACCACTGGAAAGGGCCCTGAGCCTGGAAGAGGGACAGAGGGAAGGAGAAAGACACAAGTCAGAGCAGCTCCATTCTTACCTGGCTTCTCCACAGCAGCCAAAGCACATGTGACTCACCACTCAGGCCCAAAGTTGAGCGTCTCTGCTGCCATCGTGGAGCTGTGTGTGCTTCCTAGAGGCCAGAGGAAACGAGCAGAGCAGGGAGGACCAGCGTTCACGTGCCAAACACCTGTCGGGGCATGGGGGACACAGGGCCTTGGAGAACAGCACACTCAGATACTTCACAGGGTGAGGGAGAGGTCCTACACCTTGGCGGGCATGGTAATGGGCCTTGGGCTAGTGGGTGGGTCACTTAAGCCCGCCGCACAGCCACTCACACTGTGGGCTATTAACCAAAGAAAGATGAGTCAAGACCAAGAAAAGAAGCAGGGATACTGGAATCCCTTCCAGTCTCTGCAGGGAGCCCTCCCTCGGCCTCAGGCTCACCTGGCAGCCTTGGCCCTGAAAAGCTATAGGAAGAGGGGCAGGCTTTCTTCAGGCAAGGTCCGGCGCTGGAGTGAACCAGGGTCCCCAAGCCACTAGGTTATCGGTCTGGCTTCAGTAGTGCCCGGGAGGAACCTTCACATCTGGGAAAGATCCTTAAGGAGAGCAAGGGGAAGAAGGTAGGGTTGAGTTAATGGGCTGGTAGGCATCCCTGCCTCCAGCCCGCCCCTGACGCACAGCCAGGGCACTAGATGCCACAGGTGTGGCAGATAACACGCCACACACGGTGTCAGGTCATCAGCACCCTCACCCACAGGCTGAGACAGGGAAGTGCGGCACAGAATCTGGGAAAGCAATGACTGAGGTAAGTATGGACATTCAGGACAAAGACAAACAAGCAAGCAAAAAAAAAGGAAAAATAAACCACCACCACTGGAGCAACAAACATCCCGGGGAGAAAAGGTCAGTTATGGAGAAAAGGATTAGGGATAAATCTAGGAGCAAAATTCCTTCCCTCATGGAAATAATCATGGTTGGCTGCTTGGAGACTAGAGCAGGGACTCAGTCTGGGGAGGAACCCAGTGGAAAGGAGCGGAGAGGCCAGTCCAGGGCCAAAGATGGGCACAGGCTGAGGGCTCCAGGCAGGCAGGTCTGGGCTGGCCTACCCAACAGGAAGAAACGCCCAGACCCCTGGCCCCAGATCAACAGCTGCTCGAGCAAAACAGCCAAGATGGGAACAAGGTTTTTACGATAACGGCTGGGAAGAAGGTTCCCTCACCATAAAGTAAAAATAAGGTCAGAGTCACTGAGGCTGATAGAAGAGGAGGGGTGGCAGCAGCAACCGGTTCCTCTAAGGGACTACAGAGGAGACTCTCAGGAGGAGGCTCATCCCTGGTGGTACCGGGCAGAGGACGAAGGACGGGCAATGTCCAGGAGCTTCAAGGGCGTCCGTCACTGGCTAGGAGGGAGGCTGGCCCAGCGTGCCCCTGTAGCTCCCATCAACTCCAAGATGCCACAGTCTGGGAAGGAAGAGGAAGAGAATGCCATCAGAGGGCCCAAGGTGACAGGGTCAATCACCTGCAGCTAAAGCAAAAGCCAGGGACAAACACAGTGCCAGCTCAGAGTCCCAGAACCCTAGGGTGAGACGTGGCCCTCCCAAATGGTCTCCCAAATGGGCACCTCTACCACAATAGCCGTGGCTGGACACCCTACAAAACCGGCAGCCTTTCACTGAATGCAAGTGGCCCAAGGGCAGCAGAGAAAGGCTGGTGCTTCCTGCACCACAATCCCAAAGCAACCTGGGGCCTAGATGAACCTTGAGGACATGATGCTAAGTGACATGTACCAATCACAAAAAGACACTACCAGCTGACTCCTTTCACATGAAGTCTCTAGAGTAGTGAAATGCACAGAGATGGAAAGTGGCAGGCAGCTGGGGGGCCGGGGAGGGGAGGAAGGGTGGGGGGAGTGGGAGCCGCTGCTGGACCCACCAGAGCTTCAGCGGAGGAGACAGGAAAGTTCTGCAGACACTAGTGGTGACGGCTGTACAACAACGTGAAAGTACTTAATGCCACAGAACTGCACACTTAGAAACGGTCAAAATGGTACATTTTATATCATATGTATTTTACCACAATAATTTTTTTTAAAAAAGCTTTATGGAAAAAAGTTATTCGGGGATAACCACTGCATACCTACGTTTTCCCCACTCCAAGAAAAACACCCCACATTCCTTCAAACAGGCCTCAGGAGAGGCAGTTTTGAGCCTCCTCCAGTCCATTCCTTCTAGAAGGACAGAAACTAGTCCTGGGGACATGGAAGGACTGCTGGGTGGGAGAGAGGAGAACAAAAAAGAGATCACCCCACCCTCCCACCTGCCAAGAATGCCACCAGGTCCTGGCAGAGGCAAACGAAGGTGGGGAGAGGAGGCAGAGAGCAGGAGAAAGCACATGCCATGTACCTTCCTGGGGAGAAACCAGGAGAATAAGGTTAAGTCTCGGGGCCCCACCAGAAAAGGGGCTAATACCAGAAGATGGGGACTGCCCGGCCCCTTCTTAGAATGCAAGGAACCAGCTCAGCAGCTGTAGCCACCCAGTGTGTGCATGGGCCCCACGTGCTGCCTCAAAGATGGTGGTTCTCAACTGGGGATCCTTCTTCTCCCTGGGGGACTTTTGGCAATGTCTGGAGATATTCTGGGCTGTCACAATGAGCAGAGAGTACTACTGCCATCAAGGGCGTAGAAGCCAGGGATGCCGCTCAACACCCTATGAGGCACAGGGCAGTTCCCACAACAAAAAGTTCCCTAGCCCTAAACGTCAATAGTGCCCATGCCGAGAAGTCTCCTCTACGCCACAAGCACGGGGAAGAATGAAAGACAAGACAAACCACATTTGTGCCTCTGAACAGCAGGGAAATCATTCCCTAATTACGCTGTCCCATGAGAGAAATCTGAAATCCTGCCAGGAGGGAAATCCTTGAGAAAAGAATAGATTTAAAAAAAAAAACAAAAAAGATCCTAAGTTTGTGTATCACAAAGTCTCAAAGCCAAGTGTTTGGATCCCTTTCCAATGAAAGAAAGAGGGGGAGAGGTGGTGAGAGCTCAAGGATGGCACCCTGTCCTGCCTTCCCTTTCCCTGGCTGCCTGGGCTAAGGGTCTCCTCCTTGCAGGCCCCTTCCAGCCCATCCCTGTTCCTTAGCCTACCTCAGCTATTCATTCCCTCCCCAACCCTTCTCTTTCTCTGGCCTCAGTCTACCATGACTCCCCCAGTGTCTGAATTATTCCTATTAAAAGGCTGCCCCCTGCTGGAGACAAAGGGCAAGGACATGCTGGGCCTGTGTGCTTCCAACAGGCTGGATGGAGGGCACTTAGAAGGGAGCTGGTTCTCCGGGGGTTCAGAACTCTCTGGAGGAGAAAAGATGCAGGCGATAGGCGGTCCCAGTACACGCTAAGTTAAGAACATTATCTCCTCGCTCCATCTCCCCTAAAATTAGCCCCAATCCGGAGCATGTGCCTTGGCAAAAAAACTATACCACTATTAACAGAAGCAGAGTCCCAAATTCCCCAACATTTGGAGCAACCGCCCAGCCCCAAGCCTGTTGGAGGTGACTTGGCCCTTTCTCAGGATGGAAAGATTCTCCATGCGTGGTAGAGTGAGGACTCTGAAGCTTAAAAAAAGAGATGCAAACCCGAGCTCCCTCTGGCTGGTCAGTTATCCCAGCTCTCTACTCTCTGAGACATCATGACAAATAACACCACTTGGCAATTGCACACTAGTTAACAGTTTTCAAAGCTCTTTCACACTTTACCTCATTTGATCCCTTTTGCCCACTTGCCCAGCCTTGGGATCAAGCCAGGGAAAACAAGGAAGGGAGGCTGCAGCTTCCCCTATAGGGTACCCCCAAGTCCTCAACACTCTAGCCAGGACTGAAGGCGGCACACACGGTGGCAGTAGCCATCCCAAACTCTCAAGCATGCTTCCTGAGTTTGAAGGCATTTTGAATTTCCTGACACTTTTTAAATTGCTCCCATAGCCTCTTCTCACCTCTCTTCTAAAGTGGGGCTACTTTTTCTAGCTCAAACTCCAATCACAGATGTAAAAGTGAGGACAAACTTCTATCAAATCCCATACAATACTAATGCATCCATTGGCAGAAAAAGCTAGTCCAGAAGTCTAAGCACATGATTCACTTAACTGCAATCACCATATGCGGCCCTCAAGGCCCCTGGTCCCCAAGCAATGGCAGAACACAAAGTCCAGGTCTGCCCCAAATCCTCCCCAATGACACGACAGACCACTGGAAGACCAAGACCTACAATCTAGGAAATAAAACTGGAGCTGGGATGGAGGGTGACTGGGGCTACAAAGGGAACAGTGGAGATGGGAAGGAGCCAGAGACCAAACTCCCACTCGAAGACGGGAAAGGGGGGCAGCTTATTGGTGGTGATGGTGTTTCAGTGGCAAAGACAAGGGGGTGGGGCACTAAGACAAACTGCTGTCAGCTCGAGGGGCAGTGGAGAGGGTATGTGGAGGCTGATGATCTTTGAGAGAGGAGCACTTTCAGGAGGGAGTAAGACTGGGTGGGTGGAGGAAAGATCCGGCCAACAAGTATGTAGCATCTTCCAGTGTAGAGCACTAGGATGGAAAAGACCTGGAAGCTGACTAAGAATTCCAGCAACCACTGCAAAAGAGAGGAGAAACACGAGGGTCTCTTTAAAAGTTATTAAAAAAAAAAAAAAAAGGCAAAGTGTGAGGGGCTCTAGCCAGGGAGCTGCTCCATCAGGGGACATAAGCTAGGAAGGGCCTGGCTTGGTGACAGGTAAGCCAAGCAGCCCCTGCTAAGATAGATGTTTAACGCGACCGAGCAACCAGGAGAGAGGAGACCCCAATGACCAAGCACTAAGGTCACCGGCTGAAAGAAAACGTAGGTAAAAAAGAACCAGGAGAGGTGCCTGGGTGGAGAAGGCTTCCATGTTGGCCAAAGTCGTGGAACGCTTGGACTTGGAGACCCGCAAGGCCCAGCTCATTCGGATTAAGAACCCAGCGGCACGTTGGGGGAACCTCCGGGGAGCGCGGGGCGCACAGCAGGGGCCCGACCACAGCGGGGCATTTGGGCCCGGGCGGCCGCGAGGGGCCCCGGACAGGTTTTCGCGGGGGTCCGGGGGCGTCCGTCAGGAGCGCGGGGGTGGGAAGGCGGCGGCGGCCGGGCTGGGAGGACGGCGTGCCCTTCAGGGAGGGGCGCCAGGTGCGCGGGGAGCGGGCGGAGGGCGAACGCCCCCGAACGGGGAGCCGGCCTCCCGGGGCCGCGCGGAGGCTGGCCCGCTCCGGGGGAGGGTCCGGCGGCGGGGAGGGGCCGGAGGGCGGGCGCACCGGGCGGCGGCGGCCTCGGGGAGGAGACGGGGGAGGGTCCTTGCCGGCGGCCCGCGCGCTGCTGGCTCCTGCGCTCGCAGGCTCGGCGCGGCCGCCGCGGCGTCGGGGGCGGGCCTGCCGGGACCCGGCTGGGCCGGGTCCGCCGAGCGCTTACCGCGGGCAGGCGGCGGCGCGAGAGTCCGGTCCCGGCGTTGGCGACCGCGGCGGGCGCGCGGCGGCGGCGTGCGGCGGCCGGGGGCGGCGGCGGGAGGGGCGTGGCGCTCCCCGGGCGGCCGCTCCTCTCTGTTTGTGTTTGTAGCAAGATGGCTGCCCGCCTCGCACCACGTGACGCGGACGCGGGGCCGCCCCCTCCGCCGCTGCCGCCGCCGCCGCCGCCTCCTCCCTCCGCCGCTCCGGCCCGCTCGGACCCCCACGGGCTCGCCCGGCCTCGCCTCGCGCGCGTCCAGCGTGCCCAACGGGGCGCGGCCCGGACTCCCGCCGCTCCCGGCCCCCCCGACACGTGACCCGGGCGCCGGGCTCGTCACGTGACCCGGGGCCCTCTGCGGGCCAGAGGTGGTCCCCGGGGGTGCTCGCTGAGCTCCCCAGGTACCCCCGGCACGTGACGCGCGACCCTCTGGACCAAGACCTCGCCGGCCTCTTCTAGAGAGTCGGCTTCCTCCAGGAAGCCCGCCTGGATTGAAGGAGACAAAATCCATAACCATTCATCAGTCGTCCTCGGACATATGAAATAAGTGGCCACCTAATGGTTTAGAAACAGTCCAAGGCAGCAGTGACTGGTGAGACCTATAGTGTATATGTGGCTCCCACCAGTGACTAGACTAGACCAGTGACTAGGCGAATGAGTTAACTCCTAGGAGCCTCAGTTTCTCTTATGGAAGGGTGTTAATGCTACCCTTCTGTCGCTCTGTGGCCAATCCCCAACCCCCGCTCTTTACTCTTTTCAGGGAGTGATGTAAGAATTAAAATAAGTGAATGTGAAAGGATTTAGAGAGAAACACTATGCAAATGTGTAGACTGAAACCCCTTTTGTTTAAAAATGGGTTTTTCAAGAGTGATTTTTGCCACTTGCTGAACTTTTCAGGACGCAAGAGTCCTGTGTGTGCTTTCTCCATTTTCTTTGGAAGTCATTCCAGAATGTATACTCTTACTTCCTCGCTCTCTAAAACAGCCTTTGCCCAACATAATGTCATCTTTCTCAACACAGGGAAAAAGGTAAGTTTATGATTTGGAATCTGAGTGCCTTGTGTCTTGCCAGACCTTAAGTAGAGTAGTACAGAGCTCAAGAGCTACCTGGAGAATGCCTTTTGTTCCTGCACTGAGTTCTCCAGGCTTCTCTGCTTTTTACATTCCCTTGACTTTCTTGGCAGTCAGAATTCCTGCTTCAGTGTGTCAGTCAAGCTGCTTGCTCACCGGCTGCAAAATGGCAGTGGTTAAGAATGAGTAGGGGCTCCTGTGCTTGTTCCATCCATTACTGACTATGTCCCTCGACAAGTTAATGAACCTCTGTCTTTGGATTGTATGGTAAAGCACTTAACAGCTTGGCACAGGGTACACAGCGCAAGCACTTTAGCTAATAGGGACTTCTGGTTCCACAGAGTCCCTGAAACACAAATTTAAGACTGTTCATACTGTTTGAAAATGTATCAAGAGAATCCAAGCTTGAGTCAGAGAATTCTAGCATAAAGTTTATAAGCTATGACAGCTGTTTTTTCTCAAAAGCTTTTGTTGTTGTTGCTGTTGGTTTCTTTTCTTTCTTTCTTTTCTTTTTTCTTTTCTTTTCTTTTTCTTCTTTTGTACATGGGAGCTGTGTTCTGGGTGGTTGAAGTCACCAGCAGCCTAACCTCTGAATGAGTGAAGTCTTAGCATGTTTTAATAGTTAATAAGCAAATGTGAGATTGTTATTTATGACAGAGAAATTGTACAGGATAAAAAGGGGGGACTTATGTGGAGTGGAAGCAGTCAGGGAGAGTGGTGGCTTCTGCTGAGCTGGAGGGAAAGGCAGGATTTGGGTAGATTTAGGAAAAGTGGGCATGGACTTGGGAATAGCAACAGTCCAGGCTTTTGAGAGAAGAGGACCTGGAAGTGAAGAAGTGAAGGAGAAAGTTTAGTTGAGGGCCTCTAATGCCACTGTGATAGTTCTTGATTGGCGACTAGCACCCACTGTAGATAGAGCATGTCAAAGGGCACACTGGCTCCAGGGTAGAAAACTGGAGGATGGCCCTGGGTCTCCTGGACACCAGTTTGTGACACTGGGCAAGTAATCTCCACCAGCTGTAAAGTGGGAATGCTGATGCTGATGACACTGGAAATTGATACATGCAAAGTCCCTCTTTGAGAGGAAACTATTAAATCAGAACTGTGAGTCTCCCATACAGAAATAAAGAAAATTACAAAGAAATCACTTGGACCTAACATATTTTTGTTTATCCAGGTGTTAAGCTGGGAAATGTCTGTGTTTTAAATTTGCAAGCTTTTGAACTAAGCAAAGAGATTTGGTTAGATTAATTGAGATGAAAGACTGGTCTCAAGCAAGACCAAACAGCCAAACTCTGCCTTTTTTCTCAATGACAGATTCCTCTGCAATATTTTCCTGCGATAAAATGCAAAGAGATAAAGACTATCTTACTGTCAAATTGTTTTATTAGAGAACCTGGCTTCTCCCACCTAAATTGTGAACCTTTTATATATATATATGGATATCAAAATTTATAAAACATTTTAGATATCATGATAAGACACACAATCTGAGTAATGTAGTGATAGCCCATAAACTCTGCTTATTGTTAATTATCAGATATAATGGGCCTTAAAATTAATTTATTGCATTCAGAATTACTTTCTGCCATGAGCTAAGTTCTTTGGTGAACCAAATATAACTGCCTATTAAGTCACCAATGACCTCCACCAATGTTGCTAAATCCACTGGTCCATTATCTTATTTATATGCCTGTCAGCAGCCTATGACTACCAACGGTCACTTTCTCCTCCAGAAGTGTTTTCAGGACGCTGTGCTCCCATGGTTTTCCTCCTACTTCACTAGCTGCTACTTCTCTGACCTTTGCTGGTTCCTTCTCTTCTCCCCAATATCCCAGGGCTGAATCCTTCAACACCTCCCCATTGTAATAAAATACAAGTCCCACTACTTTTTTTTTTTTGAGACAGAGTCTCGCTTTGTTGCCCAGGCTAGAGTGAGTGCTGTGGCGTCAGCCTAGCTCATAGCAACTTCAGTCTCCTGGGCTCAAGCGATCCTCCTGCCTCAGCCTCACGAGTGGCTGGGACTACAGGCATACGCCACCATGCCCGGCTAATTTTTTCTATATATCTTAGTTGGTCAATTAATTTCTTTCTATTTATAGTAGAGACGGGGTCTCGCTCTTGCTCAGGCTGGTTTCAAACTCCTGACCTCGAGCAATCTGCCCGCCTCGGCCTCCCAGATTACAGGCGTGAGCCACCGTACCCGGCCCTTGTCTCAGCTTAATCATCACCTCCTCTGGAAAACCTTGGATCCTCAAGATCATATTGGCTGTTTCCTCTTGAGGGGGTCCACCAAATCATTTACATGCCCCGTCCCCTGTAGCACAGGTCATGATATACTGCTCACCTTGTCTTCCACATAACATATTCAGTGCTTAGCACAGAAATATATACTATCACCAGTATTCTAGCAGCCTTGCAGATCTCCTTGATCCAGCCCTTATTGCTGCGTAGTATCCTATGGGATGTATGTACCACAGTTTGTTACCATTCACCAATTGAAAGACATCTGGGTTGTTTCCAGTTTGGGCTATTATAAATAAAACTGCTGTGGATGTCATCATGTACAGGTTTTTAAATGCCTAGGAGTACTCTCACTGGGTCATATGGTAAGTGTATGTTTAATTTTAGAAGAAACTGCCAAACTTGTTTTTCAGAATGGCTGTACCATTTTACATTTGCACAAGCAGCATATGAGAGATCCAGTTTTTCTACATTCTCATCCACATTTGGTATTGTCAGGATTTTGGATTTTAGCCATTCTGTTAAGTGTATAATGCTAGTTACGGTTTTCATGTGCATTTCCTTAGTAGGGAATGATACTGACCATCCTATGGCATGGAATACTTACTCATCATTCTTATATCCTCTTTTGCTGAAGTGTCTGTTCAAGACTTTTGCCCATTTTCTAATCAGGTTGTTTTCTAACTCTTGAGTTTAGAGAGTTCTTTGTATATTCTGGATACAAGTCCTTTGTTGGATATATGACTTACAAATATTTTCTCCCAGTCCCTGGCTTCTCTTTTCATCCTATTAATGTGATCTTTCACAGAGCAAAGGTTTTAAAATGTTGATGGATTCGTTTATCAATGTTTTTCTTTTACAGATTGTGTTTTTGGAGTCATGTCTAAGAACTCTTCACCTGATCCTACATCATAAAGATTTTTTTTTTCTGTTTTCTTGAAGTTTTACAATTTCAGATTTTATATTTAGATCTGCCATCCATTTTGTGTTAATTTTTTGCACAAGGCTGAGGTTCATTTCTTTGCCTATCTGTCCAGTGCTTTCAGTGCCACTTGTTGAAAAGACATTCTTTCCCCATTGAACTGTTTTTGGATCTTTGTCAAAAATGAGCAGTCTGTACTTATATGAGTCTATTTCTAGGTTCTCTATTCCATTCTGTTGATTTTTTTTGTCTCTCTGTCGATACCATCCTTTCTTGATTATTTATATAGTAAATATTTTTGTTTGTTTCAGAATATTATAGGGGTACACACATTTTGGTTACATACTTTGCTTTTGTACAGTTTGAGTCAAAGTTGTAAGTGTGCCCTTCACCCAGATAAGTGTGCATTATACCCATTAGGTGTAAATTTACCCGTCCCCTCCTCCCCCTTATATAGTAAATCTTAAAATCAGTAGTAGTATTCCAACAACTTTTTCTTTTTTAAAATTGTTTTAACTATTCTACTTCTTTTGCCTTTCCATATAAATTTTATAATAAACCTGCCTATATAAAAATTCTTGCTGGGATTTTCGTAGGAATTTCATTAATTTATATATCAGTTTGGGGAGAATTGATGTCTTTACTTTGTAGAATCTTCCAATTCAACATAAACCCCAAACTTGTGATTAATGAAAGAATCTGAAGCTAAAGGTGAGAACTGCAGGATTTACATGGTGCGGGGAGGGAAGTTCTTAGGAATCCGAAGTCTTTCCAAAC